GAAAGGACACAATGGCAAGGTAACTTAAATTTGCGTTAACTCATTATAAGAGAAAGTCTTATTTTATGTTTTTCCCCTGTGTGTAAGGAATGATTTGGAATAAGGGGGTAGAACTTAAATATTTTTAAGCTCGCCTTTCCTACCCATTCTACAGACCTGCGTCTGTGCGTATGCATAGTCAAAATATGTCTGAGCGGTACCGTGGATTGCCTCCGACAAGTGGTATCATTGTTATGTATGAACTGATTTATATCTAGAATTATTGAGGAAACTGTAGCTTCGCACTGGACGCTTTTGACGTGGCTGAACATATCAATGAGTGGAACAGTTTTAACATTTTGAAACAAGCACATGGCCTCGCTCGGTAACGATTTCTCTGTAACTTAGTTGGCAGATCATCCAACTAGTAAAGGTGAAGGTGGTTAAACATCGAACATGCGCGAGTGAATCAATTGTGAACGGTCGCGCAAATTTCCCGCGCAAAATTTTTAAGAAAAACACAAGAAACAACCGCTGTCACGCAAGATATATGAAAATTGAAGAGTTCATCGAAGTCGACAAAGAAACAGGAACACAAACTTATTTTATTGCTGGTATTCTCTTCATTTACAGTTTTTTTGGGGGGCCATATCAGGAAATTTATTTAATTTTTAAAACACCGTGAGTTACTGGTTTGTGTGGTTGTCTCTAACTCCTATGACAAACTTGGTCCTTATGGCCTGAAACCACGCCTGCTAACCGTTGCGATGTGTGCTCATGCGCATACATTTGACCGCTGTACTGGGAAGATCCAAGGCTCGTACTCCCTCGGTGTTGACTCACGTTTCTTCCTTACCTCATCCAACGTTTGTTTCAAATGGTTATTATCCTTTTAAACGTAGGGACTGTTACATTTTTTTTTCAAGGTTCGTCAAGTGATCTGGAGCCAGGATGACAGTAAAATAATTTCATGTGGTATGGATGGTGCCGTGTATGAGTGGAATGTAACCAGTTACAAGCGTGAAGGAGAGAGTGTTCTCAAATCCTGTAGCTACACCGGTGTTTCTGTGTCCCCGGACAGCAGGACAACTTTTGCTGTGGGCTCTGACAGGACTCTCAAGGAAATTTGTGACTCACAGGTAGGATTTTAAGTATATACATTGTGTAATGACCAGAAAAAGCGTTTACATTGAGTGTCGTAATTCCAATCGGATTACGAACAGTCTTTACCCGCAGTTCAAATATATGACTTTAAAACATTCACAGTCGTTTATTCACCACTTCACGGGTTTATTTGAAACCAACTTAATGACCAGCTCCCAGTTGGCTTGTTAGCTCAGTTGGTAGAGCGCTGCACCAGCATCGTAGAGATCATGGGTTCAAATCTCGCACAGGCCTGAATTATTTTCAGGCCTTGTTTTCACTACTGTTCAAGTAGTGTTAATTACTGCAAAGATCGCTTTCATATTCAATTCCCCCCTTTTCGGCAAAGTCAGTCGCGCGAGTGCTCGTAGTCGAAATCATATCGGCCAATTAGAGCGAAGGAAATATCACAGCAAACTACCTGAAGCGTGGAAAAACACGAGAGGCCAACACGCAATTGGTTTTAGTTTAGCGCCTGATTGGTAGAGAGCGTAGCGCGAATTTTTTAGACCAATCACAGGCTGAAGTAAAGGAAACAAGCTGGTAATTAGCCAGTTAATCTTTAAGGGGGGGATAGTACGGAAGACAGAGATAATCTTCTCTCTGAATGTACTAAAGAAATAAAAAACGCGCCGAGTGCATTGTTGAGTTTTATAAGCACGCGGGAATTTTTAAGAACACGAGAGAAGTGCAGAGAAGCACGAGCCGCTCTCGCACTTCTCGAGTGTTTGCGCGCGCTCGTTCTGATGACATAGGCTGCGTGCATTATATCTCAACAGTGCACTCGTGTGACGTAAGGCGCGTGC